CCTTCCCTGCTCTTTTCACAGATGTGGGGTGCATTCGTAAGCCCTATCCATTTTGCAGGGGCTGCATCCCTCCTTAGGCAGGCCCGGGCCCATTAATTGAATGCCTGTGGCTTTTGTTCCAAGGAATAAACAGGATTTAGCCTTTGGGACGGGCACCGGTGCTCTGCCTTATTTGTAACATCGGGCTGGGTGCTGTGTACCAGACCTGATGCAAGGGTGTGTGTATTTGTGTGTGTGCACGCATAAGTGCGTGGACGAAGAGAGTATAGACGGAGGCTGCAGCCATGGGATGGAAGCCCCCTCCCCTTTTTTGCGCATGGTATTGCAATTCCTTTTTTTCCCCTTTTTTTTTTTCACAAATAAATCCATTCAAGAGGAAAAGAAGAATCACTTTATAGCACCTTCTGGCTTTTACTTTGACGTTGTACACTGCCCAGAGTCTCTGGAGCGAGGTGGATATCATAGATAAATAAATAAATGTTAGTTTCAGCGTCATAAATAAATACGCGTTAGCATGCAAGCAGGCCCTTTGGAAGAATCGTAAGAAAAAAGGAAAAGTACCTTCAGGCTGAACTCAGCTCCTAAGGGCAGTGTCTGTGCAATTTTCTTGGAAGCATTATGGATTTTGCTTGCCAAGATGTAGGTGTGTGTGTAATGTGCCGATCTAGCCACCCTGGGATCTCCTGCTGGTCTCTCATCCAGGTCCTACCCGACCCCAGACCAGGTGCTTCTCCCTGATGGAGCAGAGGTAAAATATCTCTTCATTAATGCCGCTGTTGCAAAGTTTTACCCCTGGCAGGGGGCTTATGCTTTGTTTTTAAGAAACGTAATCCCGCTGCTGATTTTAATTCATCCGGATCATCCTTCTAGTATTTGGCATTTGCATTTGCGGTTCGTCCCCCGCTGATGCATTGGGTGGTTTAACCAGCAGCCCCGGAAATGGCTTTTTTGCTTGGCGATGCGATGGAGACAGGAGACCCTCCCTTGCCCTTAATTAAATCCTTATCCCCCCCCCCATTTCTTGCCCACAGAAAACGCAGTGGTTCTGGAAGAGATGCTGAAGGAATATCATAGCAAGCAACTCGCGCAGCCGATTTACAAGCCCCTGAACAAGTAGGTGACCCTTCGGCTGTCCACGCAAAATCTCCCCTTTTTTTGCAGCGCTACAGCCCCACAGAGCTGAAGGTTTTTAGCAGCTGCTGCTCGGGAAGGCTGAACCAGAGGAGACTTTTTCCCAAAGATTTCGGGACAATTTTTTTTAATGCCCTGTTCAACCTCGAGAGGGAGCTGACAGCCCGTACTTTGCCCCTCTCCCACCTAGATGCTTGATTTACACAACAACCCTGTGAGGTTGGCTGGGAGGCAGTAACCAAAAGGTCCCCCATCTGCATGATAGGGCTGATTAAGGGCATGAAACACGGAGGCACCACCTTTGCAGAAGACTGTTGCCTTTAATCCAGCTTTTTTCTAGGTTGTGTTTGAGGTCCGGTGGGTTGTGCGAATTGTGGGGGTGTCTGGGGGAGGTCAAAAGGCCCAGGGGTGGCTGGGACCCTGCCCCTTTTTGACGCACGTCCCAGACGCCATTTGAGGACTTTTGCAGCCCACATCCATCAACGCCCTCCTTTCTGGCTCGTTCACCCAAACGGTGCCCAGCTTGTCTCTGATCCCCTTCATTGTGCAAAGCCAGTCATTATCGGAGGACCGGAACCCCTGTTTTCCCAGCGCCGTAAATCTGATTCATCGCTCGCCTTCTCTGAACACGTTTCCTCTATGTTTGTTGCATTGCAACTCCCATCATCCTGAGTCCCTGGGTTAAGGACGATGGACTTTGAAATCCAACCCACCTGAGCAAATCCCGCTGAAACACCTTGTGCTGAAGCCTAGACAATCTCCGACTGCCCCTTTTCTCCCCCCCAGGTTGCACCTCCTGCCCCAGATCCCTCACATCTGCCGGCATCAGCACCACCTCCACACTGTCCAGGGCCTGGCCACGCGCCCAGGCCCCACCTGCACCCGGTGCAGCCAGAAGAAATGGCCGGAGCTGTCCATGGAAGCCACCCCCACGGCCGTCCTGCCCGGCAGCTACGCTCCGAAGCCCATACGGCCGGGGGAGATCACCATTCTCTCCGTGGGCAGGTAAGGCCCGAGGCAGGCCTTTCAGTGACTTGTGGGGCCAGCGCAGGATTCAGTCTCCTCTGTGCTGTTTTTAAAAAATTAAGTTTCCAGTCCTTAAGAGTGCAAGGACAGATGCAAACTCTGTGTAGGAGGAGGAGCAAGAAAAATAGGATAGTGGTGGCCTTTGGAAGCCACTTCGGGGGCTCAGGCCTCGCCGTGTGGCTCCGAAGCAAGATGGGGGCCACAATGTCGAGGCTGAGGGTCGCCTGGACTCTGAGGGTCAGAGGCACGTAAACCAGGCAGGATCAGGATAAGAGCAATGTGACTTGAGTTTTAACGCAACGGAGTTGTGCAAAGACAGAGAACGTCGCAAGTTCCCACATATGGAATATTTCTCCCGGCCATTAAAGATTGCAGTGTTGGGGGCAGTTTGGAAGCCCATTGCTTCCGCGCGGGTGCAAACTGCGGGGTCCCCCCCCCCGCTTTGATGGCCCCCGGTTTCCTTCCCCGCTGTCCAGGTCCCAACTCCGTGGTGCATTCCCTCTTTGCCCAGGTTCCGCGTCGCCCGTATTCCGGAGCTGAAACCCAACCCCACAGAACTAAAAACCATCTCCGAGGCGGTGAGGGAGCCCGAGGCCAGTGAGCCCCCCTACGCCTGCCTCGCCCCAGAGCAAAAGCTGCTGGCCAGCCACGGGGGAAAGCTGAAACGGGCCGGGGTGGCGGAGAGTCAGCAAGAGGTAAGACAGCCTTGGCGGCTGGCAGGGTCAATTCAACCTCCAGGGATGGAAGGCTTCGAGAGCGGTGCCTGTGGCGAGAAAGCAAGCCGGGGCTGGTTTGCCTTCCGGTGATCCCAGCCGGGAGTTTCAGGAAAAACCATCTTCCTATCACGCCTCATTTCACCGCCACAAATTGGGGGCCTGGTTTCCTTAGCTACCTCGTCTATGCGTTAATGTGCTTTGCTTATGTGGCCTGGGAGGGGACGGTGTTAGGCTAATTCAGTAAGAAGAGAAGTTTACTGGTTGCGATAGCTCTGTGGAGCCCCTATGTCCAGGTGCAGTCTACCTTGAATGCCAAGAGCTTTGTTTTTCTAGAGGAGCCCCCTCCTCGTTCGACTGGAGAACAAGCTGGTCGTCTGAAGGCGAATGGCCTCCTTGGAACCTGCTGGGAATGTTCCCACGGTGGTGGGCCAGGCCATAGCTTGGCTGGGAATGGCTGGGGTGCAGCTGGCGCGGGGCACTTTCTGAGAAGGGGGTTCATGCTCTCTGGCTCTGGGGGGGCTGCATTTTGCCCCAAGGCTGAGCCAGGCAGCAGAAATTCCTGCAAATAACTTAATGGCGCTCGTTGGAACTGGGGGTTTTGCAAAAAGTCTCTGTTTTGAGAACGAACACCAAAAATGTAAAGTTTGGGGGGGGGGGACAGGCAAAGAAGGAAAGAAAAAGAAAGAAAAAAGATGTAAAGAAAGAAAGGAAGGAAGAGGAGGAAAGAAGGAAGGTAGCTTAAGTTAGAGGAGAAATTTAGGAGAAAGAAAAAGGGAAGGAAGGAAGGAAGGAAGGAAGGAAGGAAGGAAGGAAG